CTCCTCCATTCTCCTCTCGGGATCTTGGGCACGCATGCACACACGCCCAGCGTGAGTTTAAGCCACCGGGTCTGGGACTCGAACCACGGTTGGCTACGTGGGAGTCCAGTAACATAGCCATTACGCCAACTACTGGTCTCTCTTTCATCATCAGAGGGGGGGTGTACTTATCAGAGAGAAATCGTGAGAGAGGGAGAAGGCACCGTTTCATGGGGTGTGTTCACACAATTCCTTCCTCATTTCTCCATCCTGTTGGGATCCTGAGCACACGCACGTTTTTCAAGCCACAGGACTGGAATTCAAACCATTCAGCTATGTGGGATCCAACTTCCTTAACCACTTGCCTAAGGGGCCAGCCCTAAATCTCTATTCTTTTTTCAAACTGGAAAATAATAATGATAATAATAATAAATAAAGTTAAATAAAATAATTATTTTTAAAAAGAATTATTTATCTATTTTATTAATCATTATTATTATCATTTTTAAATTTGCTATAGGACACACACACACCAGAGAGAGAGAGAGAGTGAGAGAGCAAGTCACCAGGTCCAGGACTTGAACTGCAGTCATCCATGTGGGAATCCAGCACCTTACCCACTACTCCAACTGCTGGCCCATAATCCTCTGTTCTTTATAAAGACCATAATACTCTGCAGGGTAACTGCTAGGTGCCAAGGCCTTCTGTTCATAAAACCAACCATTCACAGGATGGGCAGCAAGGTGCGACTAGGCAGGAAGCTCCACAGCAGACTGCCCAGACAGGGACCCCCCTCCGCTGGCCGGTCCCCTCCCTTAGGCTTACCTGCAACATGGGGGTGACCGAGTATCTGTCCATGAAGCTGTCGTCAGGATTAAGTGAGAGAACTCCCGGGTGCTTCCACGCGCGGCTGACAGTGGTGAAGTGCCTGTAACTGTTTGCGATATCCAGACACAGAGAGGAATTGCCGTTTCTGTGCTTGGTGTTTAGCAAGGTAGTAATTAGTAATCTAAGTAGGTGTAGTCCCTTCCCCCATATTCCTCTGTTGCATGGCGCTGATCTCTGCTCCTTCCATTAGAGCAGTAGGCAAACTGGCCTCACGTCGGCCACAGCTGGAGGAAAGCGGCCGTGGCCAGCTGTGGATGTGTAAGTCCGTGGCACGAAGCTCCCCTAAAGTTGGC